TGGGAGTTGGAGTTCGTAGGTGACTTCGTTGATCTGCCTCTGTATCGGGAACGGACCAATGTAGCGGGGACTCGGCTTTTTACAGGGCAGGTGGAGGTGCAGATCCCAGGTGGACAGCCATACTTTCTCTCCTGGATGGTAAGTGGGAGTGGAAGTACACCGAGTATCTGCGAAGGCTTTATGCCTCCGCGCTGTACGTCGTAGATGGAGGTGAGCTGAGTCCCACACTCTCTCGCTCACTCGGAACCTCAGACGGTTCTCCTGTCCACGGGAAGAGCGGGGGCTGGTACCCGAGTATGCACTGGAACGGCGTGAGGCCGGTGGTGGTCTGGGTCAGGGAATTCTGTGCATACTCGGCCCAAGGGAGGAAACGGCTCCAGCTGTGTTGGTTGTCGTGACAGTATGCCCGGAGGTAACGTCAGAGTTCCTGGATCTTCCTCTCAGTCTGGCCATTTGTCTGGGGATGGTAGCCTGAGGATAAGTTGACCGTGACCCCTAGTAGTTGGAAGAATGCCCTCCAAATGCGGGAGATAAACTGCGGTCCCCTGTCAGAGACTACATCCTCGGGAACTCCGAAGTTTCTGAAGACGTGAGTGAATAAACTTTCTGCAGTGTCGAGAGTGGTTGGAAGTCCTGGGAGGGGGATTAGCTTACAGGCTTTGGAAAACCGATCTACGACCACCAAGATGCAGGTATTCCCATCGGAGTTGGGTAAGTCAGTCACAAAATTGATTCCCAGGTGAGACCAGGGTCGATGGGAATCGGCAGGGGCACTAGCTTGCCTACAGGGAGGTGACGAGGGGTCTTGGACATGGCGCAGACCTAGGACGTACCTGATGACATCCTGGGTCATACTGGGCCACCAGTGCCGAGCTTGGAGGAGCGAGAGGGTCCGTTGGCTGCCTGGGTGTCCAGAGCCCGGTACATTGTGAACGAAGCCCAGAAGGGATTGTCGTTGGGGAGTGGGCACATACGTTTTCCCTTCTGGGCCTCCCGGCGGAGCAGGTTCGGTAAGAGTGGCGGCTCGAATGTCCTCGTCGATGTTCCAGTGAATGGGGCTTACAATCAGGGCTGGAGGGAGAATGGGCTTAGGATCGGAAGGTGTGTCTGGGGAGTGAATGCGTGAGAAGGCATCGGCTTTATTGTTACGATTCCCGGGACTATAGGTGATGGTGAACTGAAACCTGGTGAAGAACAATGCCCAGCGGGCTTGGCGTGGGTTAAGTCTCTTGGCTTCTCTGAGGTATTGGAGATTTTTGTGGTCGGTAATGACTGTGACCGGATGGTTTGCTCCCTCCAGCCAGTGCCGCCACTCCTCCAGGGCAAGTTTGATGGCCAACAACTCCCGGTTGCCGATGTCGTAATTCTGCTCCACTGGGGTCAGTTTCTTAGAATAGTATGTGCAAGGCTGGAAGCGAGGAGGCTCACCAAAACGCTCCAGCGAGTCACCTCACACGAGTCCCATCTGATCTCTGGAGAATGGAGAACTAGCCAGGGGCGTCCCAGGATGATATCCACGGTGGGTCCCTCCAGTACCAGAAACGTGATTTCCTCCTCGTGGAGAGTGCCAATCTTGAGCCGTAGTGTCGGTGCTCGATATTTCACCCACCCCCGTCCTAGTGGTTTTCCCTGGATGGTCTCGACTCGGAGCTCCTGGGCATGATGTTTCCGGGGCAGATGGAGACGATTCAATAGGTCCTGAGATATGAAATTGCCCGAGGAGCCAGAGTCGACAAGGGCAGGGACTGAAACAGAAAGGTCTGGGGTGAGTAGTTGTACCGATAGCATTGACAACGTGGAAATGACAGGGTCTAGTTGGAGGGTACTCACCGCAGGACGTGGGGGTCTGACTGGGCAGGTCCTGATGTAATGATCCACCGCCGCGCAGTATAGACACTAGGGCTGGGTGTCGAGTTCAATACGTTTTAGGCACCGACCAAATTACCTCGATACCATCGAGTATCAAAAAACGTCTTGTCGTTCGGTACCACATTTCGATACCTACGGGGTCAATCTCATCAGCGTCAGTGAGCCAATAAGCCTGCAGCACTAGCCGGTGTGTTCGACTAGAGGCGCGGCACAGATCGATCATCCACGAGAGCGATTCGAAAGCGCACGGAGCTCTCTTTAGCTCTTGTGGTACTGTAATACCACCAGTATAGAGTAGCTGCGTGGAGTTCCGATCATATGCAGATGTCTGTTCATACTAACGTTACACGACCGAAAGCGCGTGTTATGTGACCATTCATGCAAACTGTAGCATCATGCTACATAAGACAATAAATCAGATTTATATTCCGCTTTTACTCAAAACTCACTTTAAACCACCATCGAGTGATTGTAATAACTTCCGATTGCCGTCTAACAGGGCCGGATTTACGCATTGCTCAAGACATTGAGCAAATAAATATAACAAACAATAGGGTAAAAAAAATGACAAACTGCAGTGACTGTGATGAATCCCTGACAGTAATGCCCAAATCTTATTGGACGGCCCGTATTTTCGCTTTGCGAAACTGAAAAGATTCATTGGACTGGTTCGAAAAAAAGCATTCGCATTTTCGGTGCGCGAATGTTCGCGGTCTATGTGGAAGCTTCCATAGGAATCTATTGTTTTATTCCAGCATGTCATTGCGTCCGATATTCGAAAAAAATACAAAAGCACATAACAAAATTATAATAAAACTTGAAAATTAAAATTAAAACAGAAAAATAAATAAAAATATGAATATATATAGTATATAAACAAACAAACAAAACACTGGTTGGGATATAAAAAAAGAAAAAAAAAACTACTTTTAAAGGGGAGGGAAACAAGCTTCTCATATCTTTGAAGCCTGTACAATATCTTGGCGGGAAAACACCTGATAATGCTAATTCAAATTTTGAACGAATGTTTGTTTAATGTGTCAAATCACACTTCTGCTGTTCACAAAAAAGGTAAATTATTCTATTCAGTTTGTGTTATGTTATGTTGCGCCTAAGAAGATTATGGTAACATCAATACAGTTTTTACAATAAACAATTTTGGCTTTAAACTATTTAATGACATTTACAAAGGCACATTATTCTTATAGCCTGACTGAAATTGGAATGCATGTAAACATCCAGAGAGGTGAAGAGTATATTTCTGGCCTGACGTAACCATGAGAAATGATAATCATCTGAACATGTGAGCAGGAACAGACAGCTATACTTGTCCAATCCCTCAATCCTCTCCATCATAATTACTTAACTCACATTTAATTAGCAGAGTCTGAAGTGTTTATTAGAATGGAGAGGACTGGACAAGGCTATCAGCGCCATCCACAGCTCAAACAGCTGCCCACCCTCCCCTCACGGTGCTAATTACGCTTCAGACCGGCAGCTGTGACACTCAGCCGGACAAGTCTAGAGCCGCGGCAGAATGTGAGAGACTGCGAGTGCTGTAGAAACGTGTTCATTTTTGAGTCAAAACCAGTAAGAGCAGAGAAGGTCACTAGCAAAAGCGTGATTCAACCTCTCCACCGGCGCGAGATAGATGGAGGTGGAAGAATGCGAGATGAGAAAGAGTGGGCGAGGAGACAGCGCTAGAGCACGCCAACCTTGTTTATTTACTGACGCTCTACTGCTCTCTAAAGCAGATTTCTCCATTAACATGGTGACACAAGACCTACCAGGGGTTCTGAGGCAACGTTATAAAACGGATTATTCCAAATTTAGCATGAGCTGCATTCGAAGCTGCTGTAAAATTACTATAAACACACTCGTATTAATGCACACATTCTGTATTAATGCACAGTGTAGCTTGGCAACCACAAATAGCCTCAAATTAGCACAATTAACTATATTGCTTAGTAGAAGATTTAAAAAAAAATTAATTTCAGATTTTTATCAATAATAATTAGACTAATTTGTGTTGTGTTATGCCTAAGGCCGCAGTCACACTAGACATTGCTCTTGACTGACTTCCATTCATAAGTCAAGCTCATGTTTAGCAGTTTCACATTTCACATTTGGTGAACGCTGACGGGCAAATTCAGATGTTGAGAAAAGATGTCACAGACTGACATCTTTAGCTGAATTGAAAGAATACAAACTTACTGCTATAAGTTCAACTTAATGCTATATTTTCACATTTGAATGTGCTCTACCATTAAAAAGTTTTGAGTCAGCAAATTAAAAAAAAAAATTTTATTCTGCAAGGATGCATTAAATTGATCAAAAATGACAGTAAAGACTTTTACATTGTACAAAAACAATTTCCTATTAATGAAAGAATCATGAAAAAAATGTTAAATTAATTTTCAATTTGAAAAGGAAGGATTACATTTATTTTAATGTTAAACATTTATTTTAAATTTGCAATAATATTTCAGAATATTTCTGTTTTTACTTTATTTTTGATCAGATAAAGGCAGACTTGGTGAGCATATTCAAAAATACTTAAAAATCTCACCAACCCCAAAACTTTGAATGCTTGTGTATTTTAATGTATTTATTTATTTAACAAAACAGAAGCCCTTAAGTGCAATATCATATCCTAGTCTCTGTTGTCTTATGAAATGTTGCGTTCTTATAATCTAGTGTAATTGCAGCTATTCAATACCCCATTTCTGCTTTAAAATCACTGCAATGCATGACCTGTGTGGCATTTCCTTTTATTAATTTATGAGATAAATTATTAATAATAAGTTTGTTTTTATTAAATTAAAACAAAAACATTGTTTTATTAAAATGTTTTCTCTCTCTTGCCCAAATCTTAGTTTTCCACTGTGCTCTGGAGAAAAATTCACATTAGCTACAGAGTAGAGTATTATAGGGTTCACTGATTATTAACTGAGCAAGAAACTGTGCGTGAGTTTGTTTCCTGTAGCTCCACTAGTAAACAGACAAAACATTACAGTCATTAATAATGCCTAATTGTGACATACTGTATTTAAATGATCAACCGGCGATGTGCTTGCACTGTTAATCTCACTGCTAATATTATGTGTATGTGTGTGTTTGCACAACATTACCTGCTCGCTGTGCTTGTGTAAGTTTAGAGTACACGCCATCGGCTGATTCGATCAGTGTCCGACTCGTCTGGATCATCTATAGGAAACCAAAAACAGGAAACAGGAAGTCAGGTCTCAGCAGGAAGTGAGACTTCCAAATCAGGAATGCCCCCCCCAGAGAAGCTCAAACTCACAAACACATTCACACACTCGTAATAAGCTCTATTGACAGAAGAGATTGAGCTGCATTCCTCAGCCCAGATAAGATGTGTTTCCTTTCGTTGTCTCTTTTGTTATTGCTACTGGTTCAATTATACTGTTTAAAGCTAAATTTTGAATCAAGTAAGAACATACACACAATATATTATGTACACACATTTGTTAAACTGCTTAGGCATTAAGCGTGGCTGTGTCTCATTCCACTCCCTGGTTTGTTAAAATGTAAATCTGTATATTGTAAACCTGAAAGCACTAACCACTATAAACTAACCTGGACCAACACAAAAATTCATGCTGGTCTAAATTTCTACTGTGAGACAAGGCAATGCATTCCTGATTCAAAGTCTAACAAATACTTTGACACCTGACAAATAGTTTGACCCTCATGGAGGCCTAATTCAAAGTGCAAATCCTACACAGCCAATCTTCGGCTGACAAGCACTGACACGCGCACACACACACACACACACACACACACAGCGTACATTCCTGCATACATTATATATGAGGACGTCTACTCATATCAAAATGGAATTATGACATGAAAGGGAAAATAAACGGCAGGGTGTGATAGAGCAGCTTTGGAGGGTATGGAGTGTGTGTGTGTGTGAGAGAGTGTGTGTGTAATACAATCAAATACACGCTCACATCTCTGCAGAATTTAATCTGTTGTAGTAAAGTCCCATTATAAAGGAACAAGCAAGAAAGAGCAGAATGCTGCAGCTATTCTGCTGTAGGCTATGACTGAATTCATAAAAGCAGTTAAAGTTAATCTACATGCTGTATAACTATATAAATAAATATTTCGATTTATAAATTTATATCTTGATTTATTATTAAGTACAGTATAAATCATATATTAAAATATAAAACAAACATATATAGGCACTTTTCTATTCAGAATTTAAATCTATATATTAATATTCACAACTATAGTTTCAGCATTTATGGCATTATATTCAGACTGCCAACTACATATTCAGGACCTATGATTATTAAAACTACACATTCTGGATTTATGACATACATGGGTTTCTGAAATGATGTTCAGATTGTCAACTATTCAGATTTACAACAATATATTCTCGATATATGACACTCTGATTTTCAATTGGGTACTCAGGATATGACTTTATATTGTATGTATTGTATGTATTTAGGATTTATAAAAATATATATTCAGATTTACAACAATATTATATTCTGGATTCATGACATCATATTCAGATGTGCAAATATTCAGGATATACTGTATGTTTATTTATACATATTTACAACTATATATTCAGGATTTATGACAGTATATTAAGATTTGCAACTATAGATTCCGAATATATTCATATATATTCATATATTTTGGATTTACAAAAATATATGTTGACTTGCAAAAGTGTATTCAGGAATTATGACTTATGAAATTATTCAGATTTACATATTCAGGATTTATGATTATATACAGTGTATGTTTATCTTAATTGTTAAAGATCCTATTTTTGTTCAGTTTTGCAGAACAACTATTAAAGAAGTTAATGTAATATTAAAACTCATGTATTACCAGCATGTTGCCTCCTGCAGTATTTACTGCAACCTAACATAGATTAATGGTTCACATGTGCTAGGTTATCCACATTGCATCACATAAAGTTCACGCTGTTGAATTTCACCCTACCGTGTCATAAGCGGTGAGCACTTTACGCAGCAGCTCTGGAATGGGGCCATGGGCTTCCATGGTGGGATAGGCCTCGCTCAGATCTACTATTACCCGCAGCGCTCGCTCACTGTTCATCAGCCAGGAGGACACAGTCAGGATACACTGTTTCATGTTAGCTGCCGGAGTCAAGCCGCAGAGCTCCTTGAACGACACCATAGCATTCTGGTGAAAAGGATAGCACAGAAGACATTAGCTTTAGTGACATGTATGAAAACTGCAGGTCAGTTTCACATTCAAGATAAATGTGCAATTACCCACAGCAACAACACACAGTGTAATGCTGTTCAAATACATCTACCTCTGACCACAGAGAAGCTCCTGTTTGCCTCAACCAAGGGAATTAAACTTTCCTCTCTGTTTTTGCTCAATAATTGTAGAATGTACACAAGAGGACATGACAGTTGGAGGCTAGATCAAAGTCACGCACTAGATCGTAATGAAAGCACATTCAGCTCATGGAGTCACAGAAAAGACAAAGCTTTGCCTTCTAGTAACTAACGCTGAAGAACTAAATCACCACTGAGAGTCTGTGAACTGCTCTTGCCAACAATGTTGCCTTAGTTCAGGAAATTATTAGGGATGATATCATACACATCTGAGAAAAAATGATGTTTCTATGAGAGCTCTGTATACACAGAAGGTCTTTGAGAGAAGAGCAGCATGGTTTAAGTTCCCATGACATTAGGATCTCAGACTACTTGGATTTTGGCTTATTTGCAGACTGATGCTGTGTTTGTGTGTGTCTTACGAGAGTATCAAGCAAGCCAGTGTTTTGATTCATGAGTGTGAGGGTGGAGAGCTGCTTGTGAGCCTTTGACACTGAACATAGCAAAGCTGTTTTCCTGGCCTCCTGACACACACACACACAAACACAGAGAGCACCTTAAGGGCTTCACGATTAATTGGAATTAAAATTAAACAATCGTGATATGGTTTAGTGCAAGTATGTGCTTTGTGTATCACAGTGAATCGCTGTCTCAGCGCGACTTGGTTTGCTGTAAATGTTGCTTCACGCTCACCCATCTCTGAATCTATGGATCTGGGTTGCATATACAGTACACCATGCATTTGGGAACGCAACATGTGTCAACCATTCACAAACTTATATTGAGAATAGGGCTGAAACGATTATTCGACATCTTTCCTCTTAATAATAAAATTAACACACAACAAAAATGACAGCGGTGAGAAAACAGCAATTAAGAAAGCATCTGGTCATAGTGATGTTTGCACTAGCTATTTTTCATACAGTTAATTAAATGGTAAATTTCTCTCATCTCATTTGTGTGACAAATACATTTATTTGTATTGTTAAATGTAATTGTATAATAATTGTAAATGCACTATATGAATATATAATTGTTTGAAAATTTCAAAAGCTGAAGTGATTACCTTGTTTTATCTTTTAGTTGGAATATATGTAACTCAATATTTTAACTAATTTTAAAAGCTGAATAATAGAACCAAGCCCACTGATTAATCTGTGAAATAATCAACGATGTGTAATAATCGTTAGATTAACTGATTATCAAAATAGTTTGTTGCAGCCCTAATTGAGAAGCACTTAAACTGGCTTTTGCCAACAAAAAAGAAGCTTTAATATCTTCCTGCGGGTTTCCACCAAAATAAAAGCTAGATGATTAACATTTCTGAAACAAAGAAATTAAGCTATAAAGATTACTATGGTAATTATATAGTTGTAATAATAATAATAGTAAATAATAATAAAATCTTTTGATCTTTTATTTTACAATAGTTTACATTTTTTATTATATTAAACTACTATTTTTAACACATCCAGTTATTTTTCCCAAAATTGTGCAGACTTCGAGCACCTCTTACCCAGATCCAGAGTGTGTTTGTGTCTACATATATGCTAGACACTTGAAAAACACGACAAACTTGAGAGAAACATCCAGTCCTTATTAGACTGCACATCAGAGCTGTCTAATTAAAGAAGATGAAAAGAAGAAGTCCACAAAAGATGTTCTGTGGGATATTTTGGAGATATATTGAAAACTCTTGAAGTTCAAACAGCATCGGTCCCCAGTCACTGCATGAACAAAAACAGTTCTTTAAAACATTCTTCAAAATATCATTCATACAAGTTTGAAACAACATGATGGTGAGTAAATGATAACAGATTTGTCATTTTTGGCTGATCTATTCCTTTAACAATACTCTGGTTTTGGTGTCATAACAGCATTTGTCAAGCTGACAACCATCTCCAGACACATGCAGCCACATACTCTTTCACACACGTGAATTTATATTTAGAGCATTTATTAATCTGTTTTCCCTGTGGGGACAACCCTCAGAAGATGCTTTCAACAGGATTTGCTATTCCCTTGGGACATTTTCAAAAAATATGGTCCCAACAGTAATACCAAAACGTGCTCACACAAACCCACCTAGCTACTACCATGGGCAGCAAAATTACAAATGTTTATAACTGAGACTGACGCTTGCGTGAAAGGGAAATTAATGGTGTTTTTAAATATAGGTGTTTAGGAACAGACTTGGACTATCTGTTGTGTTCATACAAGAGAGCTATCTCAAACGCCCACCCACTCATATACATGAGAACAGCTCCTCTATTTTGTCTAATGCACTTTTTTCTCCATTCATCATTCATATTTGCTATCCTCAGTTTAATGAACTCTATGCTGCATGGTCCAAATTCCATAATTGAATTCACACACAAACTGTGTGGCACAGGCCAGGAGAGCGCGGGAAAGAGCCGCTTCCGGCACACGCTCGGATAATGTGTTCCAGACACTTCGTCCTGTGTTTGTGAAAACAAGGGTGTTTGTGTTTGCATGGGTCAGGAAGAGGGGGTGGGGGGTCACGCTAGCTGAGCTCTAATGCGAAAATGGATCAAAAATATAGTGTAAATACAGACTATCGCCACCATAGATTTGGGTACAAATTGAGCTTGTGAGTCACTGAGAACATAGAGAATCACGAATAAAAATTAATTTTGATTATGTGGAACTTGAATTAGGAATTAACCAATAGAAAGAAAATTCACAACAAAAATCTATTTAATATCTCAGATGTTTCTATTAGACACATTAGTTTAAATGGAGAACAAATGGAGAATTTATTTCACCCAAAAATGTAAATACTTCATTTACTTTACCCTTGTGTTGTCCCTATTGCTTTCTTTCATTTGTGGAACAAAAGGGGGCCACAAGGGGGTGCTACGGGGGGTATTTAATGTATTTAAATACATTTTATTGCTTTTTTAAAAAAGGTGAAATGAAAACAAAAACTACAAATTATACTGAAGCTTCTAATATAAAAGCACCATTAAAGCATCATAAAAGTGGTCCATATGGCACACTAAACACTTTAGCTCTAGCTCTCCTTGGCATGTTCAGGAGAGAATGAGCAATTTCTGATTCATGAACAAATGGTTATTTTGAGTCAGATCTTTTCAATGAATCAGTGGATATTCCACAAAAGAAATAAAGTCATATGGCTTTAGAATGCAGAAACTCCTGAATTTTTTAACGAAACAACAATTCATCTGTTTCCAGAGCTATAAAAATGTAACCTTTGAGCAATAAAACCTTCCTAGCAGGGCCTAAAATGAACACTTGACAAGCGCCAAATGCATGCAAAAATCAGTGCTGGCGAGTACATGAAGCAGTGTTACTCGCCAGTTGGCTTTTTTATTAATGCTAACAAAGTCTGAGAATGCGATATGGCTTAGCGCGATTATCAGATCGCAAAGACTGCGCTATAATTATGTAAAATGTAATCTTCCTAGTAAAAAGCAGTTAAAGCAGAAGTTCATTATCATGAAACTCCATATACTGTATGCTCTTACAGTTCACAGTTCTCACACAATGACAGCTGTGATTTATTATTGCCGTTGAAGCATAAAGCTGTCGCTCTATGGCCATGAAATACTCATATTTACCTATTAAACACTGCAGCACAAGTCTAATTCATCCACTTACTGGCTCTGTGGTTTAGACACAGTTATAGAGCTCAGTCTAGAACAGGCACGTTAACTTTACACAGGATGTTATGCTAGTCAAAAGTGCTGACTCATGACAGTTTGCATAGTAAACCCTGTGTGTTGTGCACGCTAATATGTGCATATTTAAAGCAGAGCAGATTTAGATTAAAATCAGGCTTCAATATGGTTGCAATACACACGTTTTTTCCCTGCATTGAAAGATCACTTTCTCGTGATAGGCTGATAGCATCACATTTAAAACTGACACGCAAGCCACAATAACAAATGGCTTTGTGAGACTAAAATAGTTCAAGATGTGCTTTCAAAAATAAAAACATTAAAGTATGCATACCAGAGAACCATAATCGAATCATCTACATATTCACATGTGAGTCTGTGTGTGTGTGTGTGTGTGCTGAAGTTATTTCATTAGTGTGAGAGTGCGGTTCACAGCAGTGACCGATAAGTCTACACAAAGAGCGCTTCCTGTGGGATTGCTATGACACCATGGAGACCATGAAGACATGCTTGCTGCTTAAGTGTATGAGAGAGACACGAAGAAAGAGGAAGCAGCAGACAGCTTGATGTTGAAACTTTACAAATGAGGATAGAGCAGAATAACATCCTGCCAAGTGGATCACCTGCCGCTTGATGCATACTGGTGCTCTGCTCTCATCGTCCCTGATCTTATTCCAAGATACAGCAGGACGAAACAAAGCCTTATACAACACATGCATTCTTAATAGCAGCATTAAAACCCTACACACATTCTGCAGTGAGTGACTGGAGTTGTTCACTGATCCCTTTAACTGTTTGCACACTTGAAAGGAGTGTTTTCCTGCACCCTTCCCCCTTCTTCTCTCCTCTTTCGTGGACACGCATCAGTTTCTCACATCAGTAATCAGTGGAGAAACCGGCTAATAGGAAACATTTGAATTGCACAGCGACTTTTAGGAGGTTGAATTCTGGATTTCTTAAACAGGTTTTAAATAAATTTGAAGTTATAATAAATGTAAAAAGGTAATATTGTTTTTTTTTTTCAATTGTAATTTAGCACAATTATCTAAAAGACTTTAGATTTTTAATAAAGAGATTTTTTAATAAAACATGATTTAAGAACTGGATGCATCCTCTGTATATTACAATTCTAGTCAATACCAAAAAGTTACAATCATTTTAATATTATTACTGATGATAACTAATAAATTGGCAAAATTAGACGTCACATCATTATAATGCACAATACAAAAAATAGATATTCATTTTGAAATCTGCTTATTAAGATGAATTTTAACAGTGTTTATTATGTTAAAATATTTTTCTTTTTAAAAGATTAACTTTAAATGAGCATTAGATGATGGCAAAGGTAATCTAAATGTAAAAATACACAATGCACACAGTGTTAAACATCCAATATCAGCTGCAAATCAAGCAGAAGACTGTTTAAAATATACTATGTAAACATTAAATGCACTATAGGTCACTTTGGATAAAAGCATTGTATATTTTACAATAGTTTGCCAAATGTAAACGTAATCTTTCATTACATTTATTTAAAGTAGACTAGAAACATTTCACAATATAAAAACTAGGTGAACATATGCAAAACCAGAGAAACTGACAATGCAAGACAATAAGAGTATGCAAAAACATAGATCTGTGGAATAGGAACAGCAGAAAATGCATCCTGGCAAATGAAATAACACAATTACACACATACGTGCACAAATTTAAAGACCAGAGGAGAGATCCAGAGCAGAAGGACAGCTCAAGCTGGCCATATGTTTTCTGTCTCTAATCATCTAATGGGATGTCCTTTGAGGTTTTAGTCTTCTTAAATTAGGACCATGTGTTAGAGGACAACATGTTACATCTGCTGAGCAAGAGTCATTTGAAATCAATATTATTTGCAGCTTGCATCCAATCTTTCATGACATGAACAGGAATGATGTATTGCCTTCTTAACCCTGCAAATTTACTCCACCATTATTCAATGACAAAGCTTGATTAACATTCTAGCATTTGAGAAACATCTGCAGTCTCACTGATTTCTCTGTAAAAGAAAATGTAAAAGCTCTGTAAAAGCACAAACATTTTTTAAAAGATGTGAAAGCATCTTTAGAGAGGAAAATCAGGTCTCCAGTTTTAAGGGCATTACTAATGAGCTCAACAACAAAAGCTTCCACTTGGTTTCTTTCTTGTATAATTTTCTTTCTCTCTCACTTTTTACCTGTCCCTGACTACACAGGCAATTTTAAGTGTGTGTTTTCAATACCATGTTGTCATAATCCTTGTTATATCCTTGTTGTATCCTACCCTTTACCTCCCTTGAACTGCCTGTAGGGCCAAGGCAGCTTGTGAAAACTGAAAGTGGCAGCTGATGCCAGTTGACAGGGAAGGAATTTACATTTTTTTCTTTGTGAAATCTTCATATGACATTGCAAGCAAATTTCACTTTTATACTTATTTATTATTTGGTTTATTTAAATGTGAAGAGGAAGGAATGTGATTTCTACTGATGACCCCCCCACCCCCACCAGACCTCTTGCTTAGGGCCCCCAAAACTCTAACCATGCCCCTGCCTAACTTTGCTCTCTAATGAGAAAATAACATTTGACAGTGTCATCGAATGAACTCCTGAAGCAATACAAATATCACTAATACTTTCAATATCAGCGGTTGTTGCCTATGCATCAATTTCACAAAAATTTCTCAGTGCAAACAGACTCTTAAAAACACTGACCCTGAAAAGACCGAATTCATACCTGCACATTTTCCCGTAGGTCTGTTGCTTCCCGTAGTGGCTGGGTTGATGCCCTGAAGAGCTCATCTACCACTTTGATCCCTGTGGTCTTAGTGGAGGTGTATTCCCTTGCTTTGCGGCCCTTTCTCACAGAGAGACCCCTCTTATGGGCCTTGCCCCCACCTCGACGATTTGTAATGGCAACGTGAACAAACAGCGTGGTGTTAGGCAAAAATTCTCCTGTAAGTGACTGCAGTGGTACGTGCCGGTAACCAGGAAGCAGGCATTCAAAAGGAATGGTGTACTGGCCAATAAATTCATCGCCAATGTAGTCATCATCAAGGACAACAAAACGCAAAGCAGCCAATTCGGGAAGGTTGATCTGGAACTCAAAGCTTTCATCAAAAATTGGATTGTCACCATTTTGAGAGACAGTTTTTGTGCGTTGTTCTGCGCAGTCTGCAGGAATTCCGTGGATCTCCACGTAGATGTACGGCTCTACCACATCGCCTTTAGCAGCCGAGCCTCGAGGCTTTGGTAGGTTTTGACCGCTGATCACCTTGATGTGGAGAAGTTGGGCTGAGACTCCCGGAAGTGAGTCACGAGCATTGGCACTAAAATATGACACCTCCTCACGCATTATAGCTGGACGCAGGACATAGCCGCAGTTGCCATTTTGCCTAAACCAACCAAGGTTTAAATCCATCATCAAACCTGGAGTCTGGTAATTCATGGCCACGATTTGGCAACCGCACTTCCAGAAGTCCTGTGGATTCATGTTGCTAGCATCAATGCGCATGGGTGTAGGGTACACCCGTGACAGAAATCGCTTATTGTAGGAGACGAAGTCCTCAGGAAACTCATTGGCAAAGCGGTTGGCATCAACCTCGTTAAAGGAGCAAATCTCCCAATGCTTCTGTTCCCGTTTCGATGTCTCAAAGTCACGGAACTGAACAGACTTGCAGAGGGTGACTAGGTCAGAAAGTTCTTTGCAGAGTCGTAACCGTTTGCAGCCAATCCCGTTGAGCTGATCCTTATCGTCTCCACCCATCATTCTCCTGGACATCTCGAAGCCTTCTTCTTCATCTGTGACCTCCCCTTCAGAGTCTTGCGAGTCTGAAGGCAAGCTTTTCCCTTTGATGAGTATCTTTCCCTTAAGTTTTTCAGGGGAGGGCAAGTAGTGATCCTCCATATTGGGAGGATCAACGTGCAGTTTGTCCCCAAGGATCTTCTTCAGGTGTTGAGCCATGACCCTCTGCTGGGGAACACTGCAGTGTGTGACAAGACAGAGGATTAGTGGATACTCTGAACTCTCAAAGGCATACTGGTTAATGACATTTAGAACTTTACAGAAGGCCAGCTGGGAGGCAACAGAGCTACCGACATAGACAAGGGGCTCACAGTCAGTGCCATCCCAGACTACAACCTCCAGGCTTCGACAACCCATGCGTAAAGCCCGAACATAGCTGCTGAGGTCTGACGAGCCCCAATAGTGATCTTCCAAAAGTGAGGCATTGTGGGAAGAGTTGATGTAGTAGTGTGAAAGGGGCTGCGTCATATCCTGACAAACATGCTTGTGCTGCGGGTCAAAAATGTGGCACTCGGATGACAGGAGGTAGTGTGTGAAGCCATCTATGGACAAGTAGCCATTGTTACGTCCTTCAGCGGAGGGTTCGTACTTGTGCACAATCTCCCGACACATTTCCTCTGTGACTCCCTCGACTCCCTGTTCCACCTCCACAAACAGCATCAAGTCCTTGGAGTCCAGGTACTCTTTGTTGCTGGAGAACTGCACCAGCAAGAAAAAGATCTCAGGGCGTGTGCACAGTTCACAATAGGCCTCTACAAATGTGTCTAAATCAATGCCTTCACCATAGCAATCCTTAGCCTTCTGTAGCTCTTTGAACTTCAGTTCAATACGGGACTCCCTCATGCCAGGATTGAGACCCTTGATGATTTGGGTAGCCCGGAATAGGTCAATGTGTCCTTGCCTTTCTGGATCAGCTAGCTCAAACACGGACCCAATCCAGGACGTTCTTACACTGGGTTGACTAGCTTCGACTACACCCACCATGTGCCGCCCGTATGAGACCAGGTACCGCAGTCCCATCACCCAGGTGCTCACCACATCTGCTGTGCTGGCGACCAGATCCAGGGACTCATAGTTGTCTCCGTATATAATTGAGAATGCACACTCATCCGGGAACTGATCCGAGAGGCCGTTACTGCGTAGGACGGGTGTTTTCTTTCCCAATCGAACTTCTTTGATGCTCTTGATCTCAAGCTTGGCCTTCTCTGAGTCTTTCTTCGATGGTTCCCAGCGGAGCCAGCGCATGTCAGGGTCCAACAGGAAGTAACGATTGTACATGCGAGAATTGGAGCGAACTTTCTTCATCTCACAGCCTTCCATCATGAAAGCCATGCAGGCAGCTGTGCTGTTCATCTTGCGGTCACTTGGCATGGAGCTGAATGAGACCGTCTTCTTTCTTGCCTGCCTCTGCTTTGAACCATCCTGCAGAAAGAGTAAAAAAAAGGCCAATAAGTATATCTGACACAGGCAATCTAAAAAGCAAACATTACATATAATCGTTTCTTATATAGATTATCAAAGCTATGGAACATACTAGAATGCATATTTTAAAAATCACTATGCCTTGAGTTGGGATGTTGAAAGTTCTGGTACTTTGGCACCACACAAACACCTGCCGAGGATTAAAAATCACAGTAAAGCCTAGGCTTTGGGGTGTAATAGTACAAGTATTCATACCGAATTTTCGGTATGGGTATTTCTGTTCGGCATCTGTACCGAACACATACAGCAATGTTTTAACCACTGCACAAATACAACTTTATTGGAAATTTCCAGTTTTATATATTGTTGCTTTTGATAAGAAAGAAAGTCTAATTTTAACCCATTTTTTCAGGAAATTCAAACAATAAATGACGTTTTGACATTCTTTGATGTGGTGTGACAGTTTGCTGCATAAACGCCACAGTTCAAACGAGCGACAACAAGCGAGTAAGCGTGATGTTTCCTTCCTGTTTACCACTAGTTTTAACGTGAAATAAACATGAAAGAACATCTCATGTCAACTGGAATCGCTCAATCAGTGTTTCAACCTTGGAAAGATGTCAATAAAACAGCTTATAAATAAAATGTCACGTAGCAATTCATTTAGCAATTTAAGTCAAATTAAGCTGTGTCCACGGCTTGTTAGTTCGCTAGAGAAATGAAGTCTAGAGAAGAGCATTTTGCAAAATATTACACTATCTACTCATATTTTACTTTACCTGTTAGTGATGTCTTAATTATTTAACGTATGCTTAAATAAATTTATTATGAAACAATTTATGACAGCCACTGTGTAAATGAATATATTTTAACAACAAATAGAAATGTTATAATTTATAAGTTAATTAAAAAACTGCATTATGTGCAATTTACATGTTTGCATACAATTTATTTTTAAGTTTAGTGTTGATTATTATATTTAAAAATAAATAGTAATTGAATTTAGGTTTGGGCTCTGGTGTTAATTGTAACCTTATAGTAATGTAAAAGGGCTCACTATAGTTTAGAGCATAAGCTGAGGTAGATTTTTTATCCCTAAGAAAATTTAAATTATAATTGAAAGTATAAAGAATTAAAAAAGTATAAATAATTGAAAATTTAAAGAAAGAGCAATTTGTTCAGTAAACCAATGATTAATAATAATAAAAAAGCAATTTTATGCTTATTTTTCCCCGCTGCTGTACCGAAACCATACCGAACCGTCAAACGTGACGTGACGTCAAAACCAATGTACGTACCGAACCGTCATGTTTGTGTACCGTTACACCCCTACCAGGCTTATATCAGTATTGCTGGGGGTAACAGAACAAGAACGATCTGAAAATAACATAATGAAAAAGTAATCTCTATATACTATTACTCGACAAAAAAGAAAAAGAAAAGGAGTAAAAAGACTGCTCCTTCTTTAATTTTCTGCAGAGCATGACAACAACACATGTTGTCTTTTCCAGGAAAGATATAGACAGATATTGACACTACTAATCCCTAACAGGGAAGTCAGATGCAAATCAGTGACAATAGGCTATAAAACATTAACAAATTTACAACTATATACATTAAGGGAAATAAAGTAAATGAAATAAGGACAACTATTGTCTGGAATACATATAAGGAAACAACCATATATACAATGCTATCTACACCTGCCTCAGCTACATAAAATCTAAAGTACCCATTCTACCACAGGTCAGTGTAATCTGTCACACAGCAATCAATACAGAACAGACAGGAAAGAGCAGCCAATAGCAGATATGCCACTTAAATCAAGCTTTTAACATATAACCTCTGATAACGACCACTGAGTGTCCTTTTTAAAAAAAAAAACACAGAAAAAATCAATTACATCTACACATACACATGCATGCTTTAGCACAAATAAAGAAAGAAATACAAAGTGCAGCGATATTTAAACTATCAAAGATCAAAAGTTGCTGTCTTCAGCTTCAATAAAAGCTATAAAATGTCTTCACAGATGAGACACTACCAATCTCATACCAGCAAAAACAGCATGCATACACAGAAGATCAGAGATATGAATGTGTTCACTGCCAGAAGAAACATCAAAATAGATCTGATTACTTGGTCTAAATATGAACTCCTGCTCTGGAGTCTTTCCAAGTCGAAGCATACGCAGGGAGAAATACCAAGGGAGTCTTCAGCAGGCTCAAAACCATATCAAGCCCATATCACATCAACCCACCTCTGATGAAGAGGGCTGTTATGACAGCTGATCTTCATGAACTCTAGACACATATGAACACATACTATCAAACCACACACTTTAAAGGCTGCATTAAATGAAAATGGGAGTTTTGTGGAATTTAGTTTGTTAGTCCTAAGCACATAATACTGAAGCTGATTCTGCAATGCAATGTCAATATTGTTTTCAGCTATTTTACCTGAGCTGCCTATGTGAGTTTACAGCCTGAATTGAATTAAAGATGAGACTGACAATACCTAAAAATGGTAGCAGATACAACAAAAATACACTAGTGTAGCACATTTTACAGACCTGAATCTTTTGATCCAGTTCTTTTAATTAATCAAATATGACTCACAACCTCAGAAGTTTGAATTAGTTAATCCTTCACTGAATGAACTCACTGAATCCATCAGAGTGGTTAATGAATCAACATTTTACTCTCTCTGAACTGCAAGTTATCTTACTTTCAATAATGTTGTTTAGATGGCATCCATGATTATGTGTTTAATGACACAAATTTGCAACATTTCATAATGAATTATATTTTATATATACATTTGAAAATTGATAGTCCTGTCCCAAAGCATTGCTAATTAAACCAATGTTGCTGGTAAAAATGCTCAAACAAACAGTCAAACAAACTATTTCAACATCGAACACTTCAAGTAATGTGTGTGTATTTACATTCAAACAGACTTGTAATGATTTGTGCTAGAGACCTGATGAAATGAGTAAAACAAACTCAGAAAAGGCAATATCTGATACCAGGCAACTTTGTTCAAAAGGTTGAGGGTTGTATTTCATTTCCTGGAAAATTCTGAGCTTATTTCGGCACTTGGATTATTTTGGCATCGCTGCACAGGAAGTCATTTCACCAAGCCATGTGCATGTTATTGGGAGTGGATCCGTGAGGGTCGTCTGCGCATTAGCCTTGTTTCATAACACAGCTGTGTTTGCACTGAACTGCTGAAGGGTGTCTGCGTGCAGACTGCTCCTGAATGAGAATGAGAATGTCAGCGCATGTTTGAAAGCGTGTCTATGTAATGACGAGTAACTGAGAGAAGAAGACAGAGGGGTTAAGGGTGAGAGTGCACCAAGCTGACAGAGAATGATTGTGCACTGACCTTTGTCAAAGGATAACAGAACATATATCTACGCAAACCCACACACAAGACATGAGAAGGAGCACGACTGTCTTCGCTCACAGCTATTTACACTAGTCAAAGTGTCAGCATGTCTGTATCTGCTACAGGAATACACATACATATTCTTGTCGAATAATCTGTTCCTCCAAATATGTGACTATAGGAAAGAAAAAAATCTCTTTAATGCCTTTATTGTGTCTCCTAGACCGCAATGACATTAAACTGTGATTCTTAATCGGTATTGTCTCTTGCTGTCCAGTAAAAATTTAAAACAAGATAAGTTTACTTGAGAAGTACAATTGTGCAATATAAATATCAAATGAAAATATCAGTGATAATTATTAAATGAGATATTAGTGAGCAAAGAAAACAACCTCTAAGCAACTTCTGTTAACACAAGCATAACATGAGCAGGTTACTCAACATAAACAGCTATTTTCGTGCTGTGGCTCAAAATAAAAACAAACACATGGACATTTGCTAGAAGGCTAATTGCTTCATTTGAAGAATAATGAACAGGTGAATATCAAAAAGGAGCCTTTGCATAGACTTATATCTGTGTTTTGATAAAAACTTGATTAAAAAACAGCTGTGAATGGTCTTACTTTGTGAAATTGATTCAAATCACAGCAAAGGACACACACATAACATAATGATAAAGTAAGGTTAATTTGTCATGTTACCATGAAGGACACAGAAAAAAGAGGATAAAATACATGAAAGCATAAATGATTCTGATGTCTACACTTTGAATATAGGTTATGTGTGTATGTTGATAAGAATAGGAGGGATCTCTCATGTTATATGCTGTGCATTTGGCTCATGTTTTTGAGATTATTTTTATGTTTTTCCAGCTTGTGCATGTATCTTGTAAAAAGGGACCAATTAGAGTGCTGTTACCACACTGGTCATACTAGCTCAATCACATGTGTACGTAAATTAAAGGAGACATATTATGCCCCTTTTTACAATATGTAATATAAGACATATGTATATGTGTCTGTGAAGTTTTAGCTTAAAATACTCCACAGATCATCATATCATTTTGAAAATGCCTATTTTGAGTGGAAGCAGAAACACGCTGTTTTTCGAGCCTGTTTCTTTAAATGCAAATGAGCTGCTGCTCCCCACCTACTTTTCCAGAATAGAGCTGTGCCATTACAGCTCGTATCTGCTAAAAACATCTGTTTTGGTTCTGATTATCATGCTTATCAAAATCACGCTGAAATCATGCGTTTTAAACCATATTAGTTTAAACTTCTGATATACGGTTTTCTGAGCGCACACAACCGAAGCACAAGGACAGAAAGCGGCCACCACACAACAGACTGGAGTAAACTTACTGGAGTAAGTTCTCTTTCACACACAAGTTTACGTTAAAAACACACATGAGTTACAAAAACAGTCAGTTATGTCTGTGAAGGTAAATAGCTGGGAAATAAATTGCATGTTTATTTTAGATCTGTGTGGCAGCAGCAATATACAGTAAATAAATCAATAAATCCTCTGCTCTCTTGTCACCTCTGAGGCTGGAACTCTAAACAGTGTTCTGTGCTCGTCTGTGCAGCCAAAGACAGAACAGGTAGCATGTT